ATGTATGACTGTATAGAAATGAAAGTATGATGTATGACTGTATAGAAATGAAAGTATGATGTATGACTGTATAGAAATGAAAGTATGATGTATGACTGTATAGAAATGAAAGTATGATGTATGACTGTATAGAAATGAAAGTATGATGTATGACTGTATAGAAATGAAAGTATGATGTATGACTGTATAGAAATGAAAGTATGATGTATGACTGTATAGAAATGAAAGTATGATGTATGACTGTATAGAAATGAAAGTATGATGTATGACTGTATAGAAATGAAAGTATGATGTATGACTGTATAGAAATGAAAGTATGATGTATGACTGTATAGAAATGAAAGTATGATGTATGACTGTATAGAAATGAAAGTATGATGTATGACTGTATAGAAATGAAAGTATGATGTATGACTGTATAGAAATGAAAGTATGATGTATGACTGTATAGAAATGAAAGTATGATGTATGACTGTATAGAAATGAAAGTATGATGTATGACTGTATAGAAATGAAAGTATGATGTATGACTGTATAGAAATGAAAGTATGATGTATGACTGTATAGAAATGAAAGTATGATGTATGACTGTATAGAAATGAAAGTATGATGTATGACTGTATAGAAATGAAAGTATGATGTATGACTGTATAGAAATGAAAGTATGATGTATGACTGTATAGAAATGAAAGTATGATGTATGACTGTATAGAAATGAAAGTCTAGCAATGAGTATGATGTATGACTGTATAGAAATGAAAGTATGATGTATGACTGTATAGAACTGAAAGTATGATGTATGACTGTATAGAAATGAAAGTATGATGTATGACTGTATAGAAATGAAAGTATGATGTATGACTGTATAGAAATGAAAGTATGATGTATGACTGTATAGAAATGAAAGTATGATGTATGACTGTATAGAAATGAAAGTATGATGTATGGACTGTATAGAAATGAAAGTATGATGTCTGACTGTATAGAAATGAAAGTATGATGTATGACTGTATAGAAATGACAAGTATGATGTATGACTGTATAGAAATGAAAGTATTAGAAATGAAAGTATGATGTATGACTGTATAGAAATGAAAGTATGATGTATGACTGTATAGAAATGAAAGTATGATGTATGACTGTATAGAAATGAAAGTATGATGTATGACTGTATAGAAATGAAAGTATGATGTATGACTGTATAGAAATGAAAGTATGATGTATGACTGTATAGAAATGAAAGTATGATGTATGACTGTATAGAAATGAAAGTATGATGTATGACTGTATAGAAATGAAAGTATGATGTATGACTGTATAGAAATGAAAGTATGATGTATGACTGTATAGAAATGAAAGTATGATGTATGACTGTATAGAAATGAAAGTATGATGTATGACTGTATAGAAATGAAAGTATGATGTATGACTGTATAGAAATGAAAGTATGATGTATGACTGTATAGAAATGAAAGTATGATGTATGACTGTATAGAAATGAAAGTATGATGTATGACTGTATAGAAATGAAAGTATGATGTATGACTGTATAGAAATGAAAGTATGATGTATGACTGTATAGAAATGAAAGTATGATGTATGACTGTATAGAAATGAAAGTATGATGTATGACTGTATAGAAATGAAAGTATGATGTATGACTGTATAGAAATGAAAGTATGATGTATGACTGTATAGAAATGAAAGTATGATGTATGACTGTATAGAAATGAAAGTATGATGTATGACTGTATAGAAATGAAAGTATGATGTATGACTGTATAGAAATGAAAGTATGATGTATGACTGTATAGAAATGAAAGTATGATGTATGACTGTATAGAAATGAAAGTATGATGTATGACTGTATAGAAATGAAAGTATGATGTATGACTGTATAGAAATGAAAGTATGATGTATGACTGTATAGAAATGAAAGTATGATGTATGACTGTATAGAAATGAAAGTATGATGTATGACTGTATAGAAATGAAAGTATGATGTATGACTGTATAGAAATGAAAGTATGATGTATGACTGTATAGAAATGAAAGTATGATGTATGACTGTATAGAAATGAAAGTATGATGTATGACTGTATAGAAATGAAAGTATGATGTATGACTGTATAGAAATGAAAGTATGATGTATGACTGTATAGAAATGAAAGTATGATGTATGACTGTATAGAAATGAAAGTATGATGTATGACTGTATAGAAATGAAAGTATGATGTATGACTGTATAGAAATGAAAGTATGATGTATGACTGTATAGAAATGAAAGTATGATGTATGACTGTATAGAAATGAAAGTATGATGTATGACTGTATAGAAATGAAAGTATGATGTATGACTGTATAGAAATGAAAGTATGATGTATGACTGTATAGAAATGAAAGTATGATGTATGACTGTATAGAAATGAAAGTATGATGTATGACTGTATAGAAATGAAAGTATGATGTATGACTGTATAGAAATGAAAGTATGATGTATGACTGTATAGAAATGAAAGTATGATGTATGACTGTATAGAAATGAAAGTATGATGTATGACTGTATAGAAATGAAAGTATGATGTATGACTGTATAGAAATGAAAGTATGATGTATGACTGTATAGAAATGAAAGTATGATGTATGACTGTATAGAAATGAAAGTATGATGTATGACTGTATAGAAATGAAAGTATGATGTATGACTGTATAGAAATGAAAGTATGATGTATGACTGTATAGAAATGAAAGTATGATGTATGACTGTATAGAAATGAAAGTATGATGTATGACTGTATAGAAATGAAAGTATGATGTATGACTGTATAGAAATGAAAGTATGATGTATGACTGTATAGAAATGAAAGTATGATGTATGACTGTATAGAAATGAAAGTATGATGTATGACTGTATAGAAATGAAAGTATGATGTATGACTGTATAGAAATGAAAGTATGATGTATGACTGTATAGAAATGAAAGTATGATGTATGACTGTATAGAAATGAAAGTATGATGTATGACTGTATAGAAATGAAAGTATGATGTATGACTGTATAGAAATGAAAGTATGATGTATGACTGTATAGAAATGAAAGTATGATGTATGACTGTATAGAAATGAAAGTATGATGTATGACTGTATAGAAATGAAAGTATGATGTATGACTGTATAGAAATGAAAGTATGATGTATGACTGTATAGAAATGAAAGTATGATGTATGACTGTATAGAAATGAAAGTATGATGTATGACTGTATAGAAATGAAAGTATGATGTATGACTGTATAGAAATGAAAGTATGATGTATGACTGTATAGAAATGAAAGTATGATGTATGACTGTATAGAAATGAAAGTATGATGTATGACTGTATAGAAATGAAAGTATGATGTATGACTGTATAGAAATGAAAGTATGATGTATGACTGTATAGAAATGAAAGTATGATGTATGACTGTATAGAAATGAAAGTATGATGTATGACTGTATAGAAATGAAAGTATGATGTATGACTGTATAGAAATGAAAGTATGATGTATGACTGTATAGAAATGAAAGTATGATGTATGACTGTATAGAAATGAAAGTATGATGTATGACTGTATAGAAATGAAAGTATGATGTATGACTGTATAGAAATGAAAGTATGATGTATGACTGTATAGAAATGAAAGTATGATGTATGACTGTATAGAAATGAAAGTATGATGTATGACTGTATAGAAATGAAAGTATGATGTATGACTGTATAGAAATGAAAGTATGATGTATGACTGTATAGAAATGAAAGTATGATGTATGACTGTATAGAAATGAAAGTATGATGTATGACTGTATAGAAATGAAAGTATGATGTATGACTGTATAGAAATGAAAGTATGATGTATGACTGTATAGAAATGAAAGTATGATGTATGACTGTATAGAAATGAAAGTATGATGTATGACTGTATAGAAATGAAAGTATGATGTATGACTGTATAGAAATGAAAGTATGATGTATGACTGTATAGAAATGAAAGTATGATGTATGACTGTATAGAAATGAAAGTATGATGTATGACTGTATAGAAATGAAAGTATGATGTATGACTGTATAGAAATGAAAGTATGATGTATGACTGTATAGAAATGAAAGTATGATGTATGACTGTATAGAAATGAAAGTATGATGTATGACTGTATAGAAATGAAAGTATGATGTATGACTGTATAGAAATGAAAGTATGATGTATGACTGTATAGAAATGAAAGTATGATGTATGACTGTATAGAAATGAAAGTATGATGTATGACTGTATAGAAATGAAAGTATGATGTATGACTGTATAGAAATGAAAGTATGATGTATGACTGTATAGAAATGAAAGTATGATGTATGACTGTATAGAAATGAAAGTATGATGTATGACTGTATAGAAATGAAAGTATGATGTATGACTGTATAGAAATGAAAGTATGATGTATGACTGTATAGAAATGAAAGTGGTTCAGGCATTTAGATTACTATAGCAAATATAGTCAGCATGATGGAACTACTTTTAACTTTCATCTATTGTATATATTTATACACAAACACCTAAGTTCCTTTCAGTAGGTTCTTCAGGGTGTTGGCCAATGTTGACCTTCGCCCCCCCCCCCCCCCCCAGAGGCGTAGCGACCCTTCCCTTGCCCCCCCCCCCCCGAGGCGTAGCGACCCTTCCCAGCGCCCGGGGACAAACTTTTCGATTTGCACCCCCTCAAGATTTCGATTGGCACCCCCCCTCCAGATTTCAATTTGCAACCCCCTCAACCTTTCAATTTATTTTTCCAACCCATTTTGGCGCCCCCTAAGGTCGGCACCCGGGGACATATGTCCCCCCCCCCCTCGCTACACTACTGCCCCCCCCCCCCCCCCCCCAGGGATTAAATAGTGAAATCACAAGTGATCTAGAAAAGATGTCAAACAAAAGAAACACAGTGGTTAGCTGTGTCAGAACCAAACTATTGACCTACTTATTGACTTGTTCTGGGGTCAAGGTCATCCGGGCTGCTTCAGGTGGTGCTTTGTCTCGCTTGGATGCAGGTGGGGTCACAGGGGTCAAAGGGTGTGGCACACTGCCCCACTGCCCTGGATCCAGGTAGGCCTGAGGTGTCATATCAATATACAGGTGTCATGTCAATATACAGGTGTCATGTCATTATACAGGTGTCATGTCACACAAACATACTGGTGTCATGTCACACAAACATACTGGTGTCATGTCACACAAACATACTGGTGTCATGTCAATATACAGGTGTCATGTCACACAAACATACTGGTGTCATGTCAATATACAGGTGTCATGTCACACAAACATACTGATGTCATGTCACACAAACATACTGGTGTCATGTCAATATACAGGTGTCATGTCACACAAACATACTGGTGTCATGTCAATATACAGGTGTCATGTCACACAAACATACTGGTGTCATGTCAATATACAGGTGTCATGTCACACAAACATACTGGTGTCATGTCAATATACAGGTGTCATGTCACACAAACATACTGGTGTCATGTCAATATACAGGTGTCATGTCACACAAACATACTGATGTCATGTCAATATACAGGTGTCATGTCACACAAACATACTGGTGTCATGTCAATATACAGGTGTCATGTCACACAAACATACTGGTGTCATGTCATATAGAGTAGGGTTGCCAACCTTATGCCATAGAGTAGTTTGCTAATTTTATTTTATGGAGTAGGTTGCTAATCTTATGCCATAGAGTAGGTTGCTAATTTTATTTTATGGAGTAGGTTGCTATTCTTACGCCATGGAGTAGGTTGCTAATCTTATGCCATGGAGTAGGTTGCTAATCTTATGCCATGGAGTAGGTTGCTAATCTTATGCCATGGAGTAGGTTGCTAATCTTATGCCATTGAATAGAGTTGTAATTTATGCCATGGAGTAGGTTGCTAATGTTATGCCTAATCCCTGCCTCTTTACATGTCAAAATATCCCAACCCGAGGTGTTGGGTTACAAAAAATGTTGGCCACATGGAAAAGTTGGCCACAAATGTTGGCCACTTGGGAAAGGTGGCCACAAATGTTGGCCTACCTGCAGATGTTGCTGGGCCACCAGAAGAAATTGCAGCCGTTCACTGAGGTCCAGGTAACTCCTGGCGTCCCTCTGGTAGAAGTGACTGATACACGTCATGGCAGCTCTAATGTAGTCCTGCAAGAAATATTGCACACATTACCACATGCAGAACCGTGGGACCAACAGATCTGTGGGCCACCAGCAGAACCGTGGGGCCACCAGCAGAACCATGGGGCCAACAGATCTGTGGGCCACCAGCAGAACCATGGGGCCACCAGCAGAACCATGGGGCCACCAGCAGAACCGTGGGGCCACCAGCAGAACCATGGGGCCAACAGATCTGTGGGGCCACCAGCAGAACCATGGGGCCACCAGCAGAACCATGGGGCCACCAGCAGAACCGTGGGGCCACCAGCAGAACCATGGGGCCACCAGCAGAACCGTGGGACCAACAGATCTGTGGGCCACCAGCAGAACCATGGGGCCACCAGCAGAACCATGGGGCCACCAGCAGAACCATGGGGCCACCAGCAGAACCATGGGGCCAACAGATCTGTGGGGCCACCAGCAGAACCGTGGGACCAACAGATCTGTGGGCCACCAGCAGAACCGTGGGGCCACCAGCAGAACCATGGGGCCACCAGCAGAACCATGGGGCCACCAGCAGAACCATGGGGCCAACAGATCTGTGGGGCCACCAGCAGAACCATGGGGCCACCAGCAGAACCGTGGGGCCACCAGCAGAACCGTGGGGCCACCAGCAGAACCGTGGGGCCAACAGATCTGTGGGCCACCAGCAGAACCGTGGGGCCACCAGCAGAACCATGGGGCCACCAGCAGAACCATGGGGCCACCAGCAGAACCATGGGGCCAACAGATCTGTGGGGCCACCAGCAGAACCATGGGGCCACCAGCAGAACCGTGGGGCCACCAGCAGAACCATGGGGCCACCAGCAGAACCGTGGGGCCACCAGCAGAACCATGGGGCCACCAGCAGAACCGTGGGGCCACCAGCAGAACCGTGGGGCCACCAGCAGAACCGTGGGACCAACAGATCTGTGGGCCACCAGCAGAACCGTGGGGCCACCAGCAGAACCGTGGGGCCACCAGCAGAACCGTGGGGCCATCAGCAGAACCATGGGGCCACCAGCAGAACCGTGGGGCCACCAGCAGAACCATGGGGCCACCAGCAGAACCGTGGGGCCACCAGCAGAACCATGGGGCCACCAGCAGAACCATGGGGCCACCAGCAGAACCATGGGGCCACCAGCAGAACCATGGGGCCAACAGATCTGTGGGCCACCAGCAGAACCATGGGGCCACCAGCAGAACCATGGGGCCACCAGCAGAACCATGGGGCCACCAGCAGAACCATGGGGCCAACAGATCTGTGGGCCACCAGCAGAACCATGGGGCCACCAGCAGAACCGTGGGGCCACCAGCAGAACCATGGGGCCAACAGATCTGTGGGCCACCAGCAGAACCATGGGGCCACCAGCAGAACCATGGGGCCACCAGCAGAACCGTGGGGCCACCAGCAGAACCATGGGGCCAACAGATCTGTGGGCCACCAGCAGAACCGTGGGGCCACCAGCAGAACCATGGGGCCACCAGCAGAACCATGGGGCCATCAGCAGAACCGTGGGGCCACCAGCAGAACCATGGGGCCACCAGCAGAACCATGGGGCCATCAGCAGAACCGTGGGGCCACCAGCAGAACCGTGGGGCCATCAGCAGAACCGTCAGAGATGTATTTACAGATATATTTTACTATTAGTTTGCGTAAGAAACTTCATTTAGGGTAATAGGCCCTAGTATTATTTCAAATTAAATTTTATCCCAAATTGACCAATTCATCAATAGCTAAACAAACAAAGATTTATATAAAATAATTAAGGCCTGAAATAGTTTAGAGCTAGATCTAGTACCTAGATAGATAAATTATAAATCCCATGTATTCTCGAATTAGATCATCATTGAAGCTAAAAAGCAATGATTAATACCAAATATTTAAGGACTAACATACTTTTATAAAGAAACTCAATAGTTTATTATGATTTTATAATGTTTTTTTATTTTTAACTAATTAATTTTGGTTTGACCTAGATTCTAGAATTTAGATCTAGGATAGACTTTCTTTTCGTCCGATGCTGTTCTCTAGATCTAGATTAGAAGAACTGTTGAAAATTGATAATAGCATTTTTTAACCTAATAAAAATAGCAAATGGACGTATCATTAAAGCTATAGCTGACAGAAAATTAGCTTTACAATGTGTTAAACTTTTGAATGGACACCAAAGTCTTCGATGGAAGCTGCCATTATTGTTATAAAAAGTAAATAAATCATGTGACGTCATTGTTCTGAATTTCTATAATTAAAGTGGTTAATCTACCAATGAATATATCAATAAATTAATTAACGTCTTTAAATAAGTGAGTTTGGTCAAAAAGAACGTGCTCTACTTAAATACGATTTTACAGCTCTACACATAGTGCGGATTCTTTCCTGTAACCAAACAGACAAACAAACAAAAAAATATACAAACATGTAAACAAACTCGAGTTTTAGTAGTATATAGATTACATAAAAGCTTGTTATTAAAACGTTTTTTATGCATTTTTTTTTCAGCAAAATTTTTTCAACCTGACTGAAATGGCATTTAAGAAACAACTTCGAAATGGCTCCCTGATTCGAGAAAGCAAAAAATTTTGGCCGTAAGTTGGGAGTGGCTCCCTGTTTAAGATTACCTTCATAAAAAGCTGGACATGGTAGAGGGTAGAAAAGTATTTTTCTTTCAAGAGATATTTGCATGTGGCTGTCAGGTAGGGAGACCACTTGTCCAGACTTGGGTCCAACATCAACATCTGCTCCAGCAGTCTGCCTAGCTGCCCTGAGCACATGGCTGGCATCAGAAGTCCAGTCAGGAAAACTTCAGGCGAACAGTGCTGGGGGGGGGGGGGGGAGGACAATAATCAATAAACATTTACATCACTTGACATTTTTATTGCCACTTTTTTCATTGGAATATGAACAACATTTTGAAGTGGCTCTGTGATTGTATTAATTTATCCAAGTACATATGGATTTATGGTGTATTTTTCCATCTGGTCAACATATCAGTCCGAGGTTTCCCAACATGTCAGCTGGCCCTATAGAGTTGACCTCATGAGAATCACAGACCCCCCAAATCACTCAAATATTGAAGGGATTGTTAGACATATAGAGCAACCTTTGTGGGACTCAAAAAGTTCCCAGCTTTTTCTCATGGCCATTGGATCAATGCATACAAGACAAATTTTTTTTTCACATGTACAACTGTATGTGGCCAGCTCATGCATGAGAAAACCTTATGATGCTAACCAATGCTACTAAGTAGCACCATAAAATATGGGCTTTGATTTTTTAAAATTCTTGTGCTAGTGACAGCGTTGGTTTAATTGTAGGAGATAGAGAACTGAGCCTTAATAATGGTTTAAAAATTAGGAAAAAGAAAAGAAAATATGATGGCAAGTAACTTATTTCATTAAAAATGTTTGTGACAATCTTTGGCCCACTAATGACTGTAGAATAAAAAGAATCAAACAGAAGCTGTACTATTAAAAAAAAATGATGGTCGGCTGTGGACCCCCTAAACTGCCTGGTAGTTCCACCCTTGTATACAATATAAGGTGTAGACCCTATCGGTGTATATCATAGTATATGATCTGGGTCTTACATGATCAGCAGCAAGCTGGGCAGCTTTCATCCAATAGTTGTGTTGTCGCAGGAAGCTGATCTGGTCTAGATAGCTCCCATAAGTTCTCAAGTAATAAAGGCATTCCTTGTAAGGGACGGACTCGGCTCTGTTCTCATCTCCTTTACCCTGATAAACAGTGTAAACCTGATTGGTCAATTGTTTGAATCTGATTGGTCAAATGTTTGTTTGAATCTGATTGGTCAAATGTTTGTTTGAATCTGTTTGGTCAACTGTTTGAATCTGATTGGTCAACTGTTTGAATGTGATTGGTCAACTATTTGAATCTGATTGGTCAATTGTTTGAATCTGATTGGTCAAATGTTTGTTTGAATCTGTTTGGTCAACTGTTTGAATCTGATTGGTCAACTGTTTGAATGTGATTGGTCAACTGTTTGAATCTGATTGGTCAACTGTTTGAATCTGATTGGTCAACTGTTTGAATCTGATTGGTCAAATGTTTGTTTGAATGTGATTGGTCAAATGTTTGTTTGAATCTGATTGGTCAACTGTTTGAATCTGATTGGTCAATTGTTTGTTTGAATCTGATTGGTCAACTGTTTGAACCATGAAAGGAAACTTACAGGGACCAGAAGAGTGTGGGTGTGGCAGATACTGCCAGGGTTGCTCACCAGTCTCTGGACCTGAGATGGGGTGAGATGGGGTGGGGTGGGGGATACGCACAAGATTAAGTAGACATAAAAAGGCATAAAACATCATACACTACCTAAACATGAATTAAAAACAAAAGATAAAAATGTAAATAAAAGCACACACAATAGAACAAGCAGAATAAATGCACACAGTTTTCTATAGACTAGATGGAAGCAGTAAACCTCAGTAATGCCATCACTGGGCAGGGTATCCACTAGCTCCAGTATCTCAGTCAACAACCTGCTTACCTCAGTAATGCCATCACTGGGCAGGGTATCCACTAGCTCCAGTATCTCAGTCAACAACCTGCTTTGGCTGGGGGAGCTCTTATTTCTGTCAGTCAGCACCTGAACAAAGTTAAAGGTTAAAGGTTAAAGGTGAAAGGTTGCACTAGATCAGCTGGGCAGAGTGGAGGTCTGACACAAGGTTTCACAAACAGAAAACTGACCAAATCTGACACAAACAGAAAACTGACCAAATCTGACACAAACAGAAAACTGACCAAATCTGACACAAACAGAAATATGACCAAATCTGACACAAGGTTCCACAAACAGAAAACTGACCAAATCTGACACAAGGTTCCACAAACAGAAAACTGACCAAATCTGACACAAGGTTCCACAAACAGAAAACTGACCAAATCTGACACAAGGTTCCACAAACAGAAAACTGACCAAATCTGACACAAGGTTCCACAAACAGAAAACTGACCAAATCTGACACAAGGTTCCACAAACAGAAAACTGACCAAATCTGACACAAACAGAAAACTGACCAAATCTGACACAAACAGAAAAATGACCAAATCTGACACAAACAGAAAACTGACCAAATCTGACACAAACAGAAAAATGACCAAATCTGACACAAGGTTCCACAAACAGAAAACTGACCAAATCTGACACAAGGTTCCACAAACAGAAAACTGACCAAATCTGACACAAGGTTCCACAAACAGAAAACTGACCAAATCTGACACAAGGTTCCACAAACAGAAAACTGACCAAATCTGACACAAGGTTCCACAAACAGAAAACTGACCAAATCTGACACAAGGTTCCACAAACAGAAAACTGACCAAATCTGACACAAGGTTCCACAAACAGAAAACTGACCAAATCTGACACAAGGTTCCACAAACAGAAAACTGACCAAATCTGACACAAGGTTCCACAAACAGAAAACTGACCAAATCTGACACAAGGTTCCACAAACAGAAAACTGACCAAATCTGACACAAGGTTCCACAAACAGAAAACTGACCAAATCTGACACAAGGTTCCACAAACAGAAAAATGACCAAATCTGACACAAGGTTCCACAAACAGAAAACTGACCAAATCTGACACAAACAGAAAACTGACCAAATCTGACACAAGGTTCCACAAACAGAAAACTGACCAAATCTGACACAAGGTTCCACAAACAGAAAACTGACCAAATCTGACACAAGGTTCCACAAACAGAAAACTGACCAAATCTGACACAAGGTTTCACAAACAGAAAACTGACCTTCAGGCAGTGACCAAATCTGACACAAGGTTCCACAAACAGAAAACTGACCAAATCTGACACAAGGTTCCACAAACAGAAAAATGACCACATCTGACACAAGGTTCCACAAACAGAAAAATGACCAAATCTGACACAAGGTTCCACAAACAGAAAACTGACCAAATCTGACACAAGGTTTCACAAACAGAAAACTGACCTTCAGGCAGTGACCAAATCTGACACAAGGTTCCACAAACAGAAAACTGACCAAATCTGACACAAGGTTCCACAAACAGAAAACTGACCAAATCTGACACAAGGTTTCACAAACAGAAAACTGACCTTCAGGCAGTGACCAAATATGACACAAGGTTCCACAAACAGAAAACTGACCAAATCTGACACAAGGTTTCACAAACAGAAAACTGACCAAATCTGACACAAGGTTCCACAAACAGAAAACTGACCAAATCTGACACAAGGTTTCACATACAGAAAACTGACCAAATCTGACACAAACAGAAAAATGACCCAATCTGACACAAGGTTCCACAAACAGAAAACTGACCAAATCTGACACAAGGTTCCACAAACAGAAAACTGACCAAATCTGACACAAGGTTTCACAAACAGAAAACTGACCAAATCTGACACAAGGTTCCACAAACAGAAAACTGACCAAATCTGACACAAGGTTCCACAAACAGAAAACTGACCAAATCTGACACAAACAGAAAACTGACCAAATCTGACACAAGGTTCCACACAAGGTTTCACAAACAGAAAACTGACCAAATCTGACACAAACAGAAAACTGACCAAATCTGACACAAGGTTCCACATACAGAAAACTGACCAAATCTGACACAAGGTTTCACAAACAGAAAACTGACCAAATCTGACACAAGGTTTCACAAACAGAAAACTGACCAAATCTGACACAAGGTTCCACAAACAGAAAACTGACCAAATCTGACACAAGGTTTCACAAACAGAAAACTGACCAAATCTGACACAAACAGAAAACTGACCAAATCTGACACAAGGTTCCACATACAGAAAACTGACCAAATCTGACACAAACAGAAAAATGACCAAATCTGACACAAGGTTTCACAAACAGAAAACTGACCAAATCTGACACAAGGTTCCACAAACAGAAAACTGACCAAATCTGACACAAGGTTCCACATACAGAAAACTGACCAAATCTGACACAAGGTTCCACAAACAGAAAACTGACCAAATCTGACACAAGGTTCCACAAACAGAAAACTGACCATATCTGACACAAGGTTCCACAAACAGAAAACTGACCAAATCTGACACAAGGTTCCACAAACAGAAAACTGACCAAATCTGACACAAGGTTCCACAAACAGAAAACTGACCAAATCTGACATAAGGTTCCACAAACAGAAAAATGACCAAATCTGACACAAGGTTCCACAAACAGAAAACTGACCAAATCTGACACAAGGTTCCACATACAGAAAACTGACCAAATCTGACACAAGGTTCCACAAACAGAAAACTGACCAAATCTGACACAAGGTTTCACAAACAGAAAACTGACCAAATCTGACACAAGGTTCCACAAACAGAAAACTGACCAAATCTGACACAAGGTTCCACATACAGAAAACTGACCAAATCTGACACAAGGTTCCACAAACAGAAAACTGACCAAATCTGACACAAGGTTCCACAAACAGAAAACTGACCAAATCTGACACAAGGTTCCACAAACAGAAAACTGACCAAATCTGACACAAGGTTCCACAAACAGAAAACTGACCAAATCTGACACAAGGTTCCACAAACAGAAAACTGACCAAATCTGACACAAGGTTCCACAAACAGAAAACTGACCAAATCTGACACAAGGTTCCACAAACAGAAAACTGACCAAATCTGACACAAGGTTCCACAAACAGAAAACTGACCAAATCTGACACAAGGTTCCACAAACAGAAAACTGACCAAATCTGACACAAACAGAAAACTGACCAAATCTGACACAAGGTTTCACAAACAGAAAACTGACCAAATCTGACACAAGGTTCCACAAACAGAAAACTGACCAAATCTGACACAAGGTTCCACAAACAGAAAACTGACCAAATCTGACACAAGGTTCCACAAACAGAAAACTGACCAAATCTGACACAAGGTTCCACAAACAGAAAACTGACCAAATCTGACACAAGGTTCCACAAACAGAAAACTGACCAAATCTGACACAAGGTTCCACAAACAGAAAACTGACCAAATCTGACACAAACAGAAAACTGACCAAATCTGACACAAACAGAAAAATGACCAAATCTGACACAAACAGAAAACTGACCAAATCTGACACAAACAGAAAAATGACCAAATCTGACACAAGGTTCCACAAACAGAAAACTGACCAAATCTGACACAAGGTTCCACAAACAGAAAACTGACCAAATCTGACACAAGGTTCCACAAACAGAAAACTGACCAAATCTGACACAAGGTTCCACAAACAGAAAACTGACCAAATCTGACACAAGGTTCCACAAACAGAAAACTGACCAAATATGACACAAGGTTCCACAAACAGAAAACTGACCAAATCTGACACAAGGTTCCACAAACAGAAAACTGACCAAATCTGACACAAGGTTCCACAAACAGAAAACTGACCAAATCTGACACAAGGTTCCACAAACAGAAAACTGACCAAATCTGACACAAGGTTCCACAAACAGAAAACTGACCAAATCTGACACAAGGTTCCACAAACAGAAAAATGACCAAATCTGACACAAGGTTCCACAAACAGAAAAATGACCAAATCTGACACAAGGTTCCACAAACAGAAAACTGACCAAATCTGACACAAGGTTCCACAAACAGAAAACTGACCAAATCTGACACAAGGTTTCACAAACAGAAAACTGACCTTCAGGCAGTGACCAAATCTGACACAAGGTTCCACAAACAGAAAACTGACCAAATCTGACACAAGGTTCCACAAACAGAAAAATGACCACATCTGACACAAGGTTCCACAAACAGAAAAATGACCAAATCTGACACAAGGTTCCACAAACAGAAAACTGACCAAATCTGACACAAGGTTTCACAAACAGAAAACTGACCTTCAGGCAGTGACCAAATCTGACACAAGGTTCCACAAACAGAAAACTGACCAAATCTGACACAAGGTTCCACAAACAGAAAAATGACCAAATCTGACACAAGGTTCCACAAACAGAAAACTGACCAAATCTGACACAAGGTTCCACAAACAGAAAACTGACCAAATCTGACACAAGGTTTCACAAACAGAAAACTGACCTTCAGGCAGTGACCAAATATGACACAAGGTTCCACAAACAGAAAACTGACCAAATCTGACACAAGGTTTCACAAACAGAAAACTGACCAAATCTGACACAAGGTTCCACAAACAGAAAACTGACCAAATCTGACACAAACAGAAAAATGACCCAATCTGACACAAGGTTCCACAAACAGAAAACTGACCAAATCTGACACAAGGTTTCACAAACAGAAAACTGACCAAATCTGACACAAGGTTCCACAAACAGAAAACTGACCAAATCTGACACAAGGTTCCACAAACAGAAAACTGACCAAATCTGTCACAAACAGAAAACTGACCAAATCTGACACAAGGTTCCACACAAGGTTTCACAAACAGAAAACTGACCAAATCTGACACAAACAGAAAACTGACCAAATCTGACACAAGGTTCCACATACAGAAAACTGACCAAATCTGACACAAGGTTTCACAAACAGAAAACTGACCAAATCTGACACAAGGTTTCACAAACAGAAAACTGACCAAATCTGACACAAGGTTCCACAAACAGAAAACTGACCAAATCTGGCACAAGGTTTCACAAACAGAAAACTGACCAAATCTGACACAAACAGAAAACTGACCAAATCTGACACAAGGTTCCACATACAGAAAACTGACCAAATCTGACACAAACAGAAAAATGACCAAATCTGACACAAGGTTTCACAAACAGAAAACTGACCAAATCTGACACAAGGTTCCACATACAGAAAACTGACCAAATCTGACACAAGGTTCCACAAACAGAAAACTGACCAAATCTGACACAAGGTTCCACAAACAGAAAACTGACCAAATCTGACACAAGGTTCCACAAACAGAAAACTGACCAAATCTGACACAAACAGAAAACTGACCAAATCTGACACAAACAGAAAAATGACCAAATCTGACACAAACAGAAAACTGACCAAATCTGACACAAACAGAAAAATGACCAAATCTGACACAAGGTTCCACAAACAGAAAACTGACCAAATCTGACACAAGGTTCCACATACAGAAAACTGACCAAATCTGACACAAGGTTCCACAAACAGAAAACTGACCAAATCTGACACAAGGTTTCACAAACAGAAAACTGACCAAATCTGACACAAGGTTCCACAAACAGAAAACTGACCAAATCTGACACAAGGTTTCACATACAGAAAACTGACCAAATCTGACACAAGGTTCCACAAACAGAAAACTGACCAAATCTGACACAAGGTTCCACAAACAGAAAAATGACCAAATCTGACACAAGGTTCCACAAACAGAAAACTGACCAAATCTGACACAAGGTTCCACAAACAGAAAACTGACCAAATCTGACACAAGGTTCCACAAACAGAAAACTGACCAAATCTGACACAAGGTTCCACAAACAGAAAACTGACCAAATCTGACACAAGGTTCCACACAAGGTTTCACAAACAGAAAACTGACCAAATCTGACACAAACAGAAAACTGACCAAATCTGACACAAGGTTCCACAAACAGAAAACTGACCAAATCTGACACAAGGTTCCACATACAGAAAACTGACCAAATCTGACACAAGGTTCCACAAACAGAAAACTGACCAAATCTGACACAAGGTTCCACAAACAGAAAACTGACCAAATCTGACACAAGGTTCCACAAACAGAAAACTGACCAAATCTGACACAAGGTTCCACAAACAGAAAACTGACCAAATCTGACATAAGGTTCCACAAACAGAAAAATGACCAAATCTGACACAAGGTTCCACAAACAGAAAACTGACCAAATCTGACACAAGGTTCCACATACAGAAAACTGACCAAATCTGACACAAGGTTCCACAAACAGAAAACTGACCAAATCTGACACAAGGTTCCACAAACAGAAAACTGACCAAATCTGACACAAGGTTCCACAAACAGAAAACTGACCAAATCTGACACAATGTTCCACAAACAGAAAACTGACCAAATCTGACACAAACAGAAAACTGACCAAATCTGACACAAGGTTCCACAAACAGAAAACTGACCAAATCTGACACAAGGTTCCACAAACAGAAAACTGACCAAATCTGACACAAACAGAAAACTGACCAAATCTGACACAAGGTTCCACAAACAGAAAACTGACCAAATCTGACACAAGGTTCCACATACAGAAAACTGACCAAATCTGACACAAGGTTCCACAAACAGAAAACTGACCAAATCTGACACAAGGTTCCACAAACAGAAAAATGACCAAATCTGACACAAGGTTCCACAAACAGAAAAATGACCAAATCTGACACAAGGTTCCACAAACAGAAAACTGACCAAATCTGACACAAGGTTCCACAAACAGAAAACTGACCAAATCTGACACAAGGTTCCACATACAGACAAATGACCAAATCTGACACAAGGTTTCACAAACAGAAAACTGACCAAATCTGACACAAGGTTCCACAAACAGAAAACTGACCAAATCTGACATAAGGTTCCACAAACAGAAAACTGACCAAATCTGACACAAGGTTCCACAAACAGAAAACTGACCAAATCTGACACAAGGTTCCACAAACAGAAAACTGACCAAATCTGACACAAGGTTCCACAAACAGAAAACTGACCAAATCTGACACAAGGTTCCACATACAGAAAACTGACCAAATCTGACACAAGGTTCCACAAACAGAAAACTGACAAAATCTGACACAAGGTTCCACAAACAGAAAACTGACCAAATCTGACACAAGGTTCCACAAACAGAAAACTGACCAAATCTGACACAAGGTTCCACAAACAGAAAACTGACCAAATCTGACACAAGGTTCCACAAACAGAAAACTGACCAAATCTGACACAAACAGAAAACTGACCAAATCTGACACAAGGTTCCACAAACAGAAAACTGACCAAATCTGACACAAGGTTCCACAAACAGAAAACTGACCAAATCTGACACAAACAGAAAACTGACCAAATCTGACACAAGGTTCCACAAACAGAAAACTGACCAAATCTGACACAAGGTTCCACATACAGAAAACTGACCAAATCTGACACAAGGTTCCACAAACAGAAAACTGACCAAATCTGACACAAGGTTCCACAAACAGAAAAATGACCAAATCTGACACAAGGTTCCACAAACAGAAAAATGACCAAATCTGACACAAGGTTCCACAAACAGAAAACTGACCAAATCTGACACAAGGTTCCACAAACAGAAAAATGACCAAATCTGACACAAGGTTCCACAAACAGAAAAATGACCAAATCTGACACAAGGTTCCACAAACAGAAAACTGACCAAATCTGACACAAGGTTCCACAAACAGAAAACTGACCAAATCTGACACAAGGTTCCACAAACAGAAAACTGACCAAATCTGACACAAGGTTCCACAAACAGAAAACTGACCAAATCTGACACAAGGTTTCACACAATGGTTCCACAAACAGAAAAATGACCAAATCTGACACAAACAGAAAACTGACCAAATCTGACACAAACAGAAAACTGACCAAATCTGACACAAGGTTTCACAAACAGAAAACTGACCTTCAGGCAGTGACCAAATTTCTCCCGAGCTCCCTGGAAATCTCCCAGACTTAAACAAGCGAAGCCCATTGCTGACCAGACCCCTGTGGGGTCTATCCCACATTTTGTGGAGACATCCATAGCCAGTGCCAGACGTTCATCTGCTAGAAGTTTATCTCGTAACCTCCTACAAACAGATTGATGGACACATATAAACAATGCCGTGCACACATGCATCAAACTGTGTTCACCTGTCAACTGACCTGACAGTGTCTTGCTTGGTCAGCTCCCTCAGAGTTGGTAGATCTTGATAGTTAGCCTCCACCATAGTCTTGAGCAGGTCTAGCCGAGCCAGATACATGTCGCACTGGCCAATGTTGTAATTGAAATCTAACTTTGCATGGAACAGCAGCTGCTTCATTACACTGAAATAAGAATGGACAAACTTCACACTGACCAGCTGTCACCTCCCAACTGACCAGCTGTCACCTCCCCAATAACCAGCTGTCTGTCACCTCCCCACTGACCAGCTGTCTGTCACCTCCCCACTGACCAGCTGTCACCTCACCACTGACCAGCTGTCACCTCCCCACTGACCAGCTGTCACCTCCCCACTGACCAGCTGTCTGTCACCTCCCCACTGACCAGCTGTCACCTCCCCACTGACCAGCTGTCACCTCCCCACTGACCAGTTGTCTGTCACCTCCCCACTGACCAGTTGTCTGTCACCTCCCCACTGACCAGTTGTCTGTCACCTCCCCACTGACCAGCTGTCTGTCAGCTCCCCACTGACCAGCTGTCAGCTCTCCACTGACCAGCTGTCTGTCACCTCCCCACTGACCAGCTGTCTGTCACCTCCCCACTGACCAGCTGTCTGTCACCTCCCCACTGACCAGCTGTCTGTCACCTCCCTACTGACCAGCTGTCTGTCACCTCCCCACTGACCAGCTGTCTGTCACCTCCCCACTGACCAGCTGTCTGTCAGCTCCCCACTGACCAGCTGTCACCTCCCCACTGACCAGCTGTCTGTCACCTCCCCACTGACCAGCTGTCACCTCCCCACTGACCAGCTGTCTGTCAGCTCCCCACTGACCAGCTGTCACCTCCCCACTGACCAGCTGTCACCTCCCCACTGACCAGTTGTCTGTCAGCTCCCCACTGACCAGCTGTCACCTCCCCACTGACCAGCTGTCTGTCACCTCCCCACTGAACAGTTGTCTGTCAGCTCCCCACTGACCAGCTGTCACCTCCCCACTGACCAGCTGTCTGTCACCTCCCCACTGACCAGCTGTCTGTCTCCTCCCCACTGACCAGCTGTCACCTCCCCACTGACCAGCTGTCACCTCCCCACTGACCAGCTGTCACCTCCCCACTGACCAGCTGTCACCTCCCCACTGACCAGCTGTCACCTCCCCACTGACCAGCTGTCACCTCCCCACTGACCAGCTGTCACCTCCCCACTGACCAGCTGTCACCTCCCCACTGACCAGCTGTCACCTCCCCACTGACAAGCTGTCACCTCCCCACTGACCAGCTGTCACCTCCCCACTGACCAGCTGTCACCTCCCCACTGACCAGCTGTCACCTCCCCACTGACCAGCTGTCACCTCCCCACTGACCAGCTGTCTGTCACCTCCCCACTGACCAGCTGTCACCTCCCCACTGACCAGCTGTCTGTCACCTCCCCACTGACCAGCTGTCTGTCACCTCCCCACTGACCAGCTGTCACCTCCCCACTGACCAGCTGTCTGTCACCTCCCTACTGACCAGCTGTCTGTCACCTCCCCACTGACCAGCTGTCTGTCAGCTCCCCACTGACCAGTTGTCTGTCAGCTCCCCACTGACCAGCTGTCACCTCCCCACTGACCAGCTGTCTGTCACCTCCCCACTGACCAGCTGTCTGTCACCTCCCCACTGACCAGCTGTCTGTCACCTCCCCACTGACCTGATGATCAGATTGTAATCAATCTCTGGGTTGGGCACGCCAGGGGAGACAGGCACCATGAGCTGGGAGAGCTGGTCACACATTTCAATGATGGTCATCCCAGCCTCCAGCCTTGAGCTGTGCTGCTTCAGTATGGAGACACACAAGGTAACACTGGGGGCCTGCAGATAGTACAGGGCTACAACCACTTCAATACATAGGACAGGGGCAGGGCTACAACCACTTCAATACATGGGGTGGGGGCAGGGCTACAACCACTTCAATACATAGGACAGGGGCAGGGCTACAACCACTTCAATACACGGGGTGGGGGCAGGGCTACAACCACTTCAATACACGGGGTGGGGGCAGGGCTACAACCACTTCAATACACGGGGTGGGGACAGGGCTACAACCACTTCAATACACGGGGTGGGGGCAGGGCTACAACCACTTCAATACATAGGTTGGGGGGCAGGGCTACAACCACTTCAATACACGGGGTGGGGACAGGGCTACAACCACTTCAATACATGGGGTGGGGGCAGGGCTACAACCACTTCAATACATGGGGTGGGGGCAGGGCTACAACCACTTCAATACATGGGGTGGGGGCAGGGCTACAACCACTTCAATACATGGGGTGGGGGCAGGGCTACAACCACTTCAATACATGGGGTGGGGGCAGGGCTACAACCACTTCAATACATGGGGTGGGGGCAGGGCTACAACCACTTCAATACATGGGGTGGGGGCAGGGCTACAACCACTTCAATACATGGGGTGGGGGCAGGGCTACAACCACTTCAATACATAGGTTGGGGGGCAGGGCTACAACCACTTCAATACACGGGGTGGGGACAGGGCTACAACCACTTCAATACATGGGGTGGGGGCAGGGCTACAACCACTTCAATACACGGGGTGGGGGCAGGGCTACAACCACTTCAATACACGGGGTGGGGGCAGGGCTACAACCACTTCAATACACGGGGTGGGGGCAGGGCTACAACCACTTCAATACACGGGGTGGGGGCAGGGCTACAACCACTTCAATACACGGGGTGGGGGCAGGGCTACAACCACTTCAATACACGGGGTGGGGGCAGGGCTACAACCACTTCAATACACGGGGTGGGGGCAGGGCTACAACCACTTCAATACACGGGGTGGGGGCAGGGCTACAACCACTTCAATACATGGGGTGGGGGGCAGGGCTACAACCACTTCAATACATGGGGTGGGGGCAGGGCTACAACCACTTCAATACATGGGGTGGGGGGCAGGGCTACAACCACTTCAATACATGGGGTGGGGGCAGGGCTACAACCACTTCAATACATGGGGTGGGGGCAGGGCTACAACCACTTTAATACATGGGGTGGGGGCAGGGCTACAACCACTTCAATACACGGGGTGGGGGCAGGGCTACAACCACTTTAATACATGGGGTGGGGGCAGGGCTACAACCACTTCAATACACGGGGTGGGGGCAGGGCTACAACCACTTCAATACACGGGGTGGGGGCAGGGCTACAACCACTTCAATACATGGGGTGGGGGCAGGGCTACAACCACTTCAATACATGGGGTGGGGGCAGGGCTACAACCACTTCAATACATGGGGTGGGGGCAGGGCTACAACCACTTCAATACATAACGTGGGGGCAGGGCTACAACCACTTCAATACATGGGGTGGGGGCAGGGCTACAACCACTTCAATACATGGGGTGGGGGCAGGGCTACAACCACTTCAATACATGGGGTGGGGGCAGGGCTACAACCACTTCAATACATAGGACAGGGGCAGGGCTACAACCACTTCAATACATGGGGTGGGGGCAGGGCTACAACCACTTCAATACATGGGGTGGGGGCAGGGCTACAACCACTTCAATACATGGGGTGGGGGCAGGGCTACAACCACTTCAATACATGGGGTGGGGGCAGGGCTACAACCACTTCAATACATGGGGTGGGGGCAGGGCTACAACCACTTCAATACATAGGACAGGGCTACAACCACTTCAATACATGGGGTGGGGACAGGGCTACAACCACTTCAATACACGGGGTGGGGGCAGGGCTACAACCACTTCAATACATGGGGTGGGGGCAGGGCTACAACCACTTCAATACATAGGGTGGGGGCAGGGCTACAACCACTTCAATACACGGGGTGGGGGCAGGGCTACAACCACTTCAATACATAGGGTGGGGGCAGGGCTACAACCACTTCAATACACGGGGTGGGGGCAGGGCTACAACCACTTCAATACATGGGGTGGGGGCAGGGCTACAACCACTTCAATACATGGGACAGGGGCAGGGCTACAACCACTTCAATACACGGGGTGGGGGCAGGGCTACAACCACTTCAATACACGGGGTGGGGGCAGGGCTACAACCACTTCAATACATGGGGTGGGGGCAGGGCTACAACCACTTCAATACATAGGGTGGGGGCAGGGCTACAACCACTTCAATACATGGGGTGGGGGCAGGGCTACAACCACTTCAATACATAACGTGGGGGCAGGGCTACAACCACTTCAATACATGGGGTGGGGGCAGGGCTACAACCACTTCAATACAAAACGTGGGGGCAGGGCTACAACCACTTCAATACACGGGGTGGGGGCAGGGCTACAACCACTTCAATACATGGGGTGGGGGCAGGGCTACAACCACTTCAATACATAGGACAGGGCTACAACCACTTCAATACATAGGACAGGGCTACAACCACTTCAATACACGGGGTGGGGGCAGGGCTACAACCACTTCAATACATGGGGTGGGGGCAGGGCTACAACCACTTCAATACATAGGACAGGGCTACAACCACTTCAATACATAGGACAGGGCTACAACCACTTCAATACATGGGGTGGGGGCAGGGCTACAACCACTTCAATACATGGGGTGGGGGCAGGGCTACAACCACTTCAATACACGGGGTGGGGGCAGGGCTACAACCACTTCAATACACGGGGTGGGGGCAGGGCTACAACCACTTCAATACACGGGGTGGGGGCAGGGCTACAACCACTTCAATACATAGGACAGGGCTACAACCACTTCAATACATAAAGTGGGGGCAGGGCTACAACCACTTCAATACACGGGGTGGGGGCAGGGCTACAACCACTTCAATACATGGGGTGGGGGCAGGGCTACAACCACTTCAATACATGGGGTGGGGGCAGGGCTACAACCACTTCAATACATGGGACAGGGGCAGGGCTACAACCACTTCAATACATAGGACAGGGCTACAACCACTTCAATACATAGGACAGGGACAGGGCTACAACCACTTCAATACATAGGACAGGGACAGGGCTACAACCACTTCAATACATGGGGTGGGGGCAGGGCTACAACCACTTCAATACATAGGACAGGGCTACAACCACTTCAATACATAGGACAGGGACAGGGCTACAACCACTTCAATACATAGGACAGGGACAGGGCTACAACCACTTCAATACACGGGGTGGGGACAGGGCTACAACCACTTCAATACACGGGGTGGGGACAGGGCTACAACCACTTTAATACATGGGGTGGGGACAGGGCTACAACCACTTCAATACACGGGGTGGGGGCAGGGCTACAACCACTTCAATGCACAAGGTGGGGGCAGGGCTACAACCACTTCAATACATGGGGTGGGGGCAGCGCTACAACCACTTCAATACATAGGACAGGGGCAGGGCTACAACCACTTCAATACATGGGGTGGGGGCAGGGCTACAACCACTTCAATGCACAAGGTGGGGGCAGGGCTACAACCACTTCAATACATGGGGTGGGGGCAGGGCTACAACCACTTCAATACACGGGGTGGGGGCAGGGCTACAACCACTTCAATACATAGGACAGGGGCAGGGCTACAACCACTTCAATACATAGGACAGGGGCAGGGCTACAACCACTTCAATACATAGGACAGGGACAGGGCTACAACCACTTCAATACATGGGGTGGGGGCAGGGCTACAACCACTTCAATACATAGGACAGGGCTACAACCACTTCAATACATAAAGTGGGGGCAGGGCTACAACCACTTCAATACACGGGGTGGGGGCAGGGCTACAACCACTTCAATACATAGGACAGGGGCAGGGCTACAACCACTTCAATACATAGGACAGGGCTACAACCACTTCAATACATGGGGTGGGGGCAGGGCTACAACCACTTCAATACACGGGGTGGGGGCAGGGCTACAACCACTACAGAGAATGAAAAACAACAAGTGACCTGTTCGAAGTAAAAATCCTTGCGCACCAGCTGGCAGTAGACTGGATCTGGCTCCAGCTTCCAGCACAGCTGCAGCTGGTTAACAGCTGGACTCAGCTGGTTGGGGGGAGGGTCTGTCATCTGGCTGTACACCTCACACTCTTCACTGAAATGTTTGACATTGGCTACACAACATAGGCCACTCAACCCCACACCAGTCAACCCCACACAAGTCAACCCACACCAGACAAACCCACAACAGACAACCCCGCACCAGTCAACCCACACACATCAACCCCACACCAGACAACCCCACACAACTCAACCCCACACCAGACAACCCCACACCAGACAACCCCACACACATCAACCCCACACCAGACAACCCCACACCAGACAACCCCACACCAGACAACCCCACACCAGACAACCCCACACCAGACAACCCCACACCAGACAACCCCACACCAGACAACCCCACAACAGACAACCCCACAACAGACAACCCCACACCAGACAACCCCACACCAGACAACCCCACACCAGACAACCCCACACCAGACAACCCCACACCAGACAACCCCACACCAGACAACCCCACACCAGACAACCCCGCACCAGTCAACCCACACACATCAACCCCACACCAGACAACCCCACACAACTCAACCCCACACCAGACAACCCCACACCAGACAACCCCACACCAGACAACCCCACACCAGACAACCCCACACCAGACAACCCCACACCAGACAACCCCACACCAGACAACCCCACACCAGACAACCCCACACCAGACAACCCCACACAAGTACCTGACAAGGTTTGTCTGCTCCACACACTGATCACACGTGCGTGACATGACGTCAAATACAAGCGTCAGTCGTGTGGAACAGGTGCCGCAAACCACGCGACCACAGCGTCGACAATGATGTCTTCGATTAAACTGTAATCAAAGAGAATCTGTTCATAACGTTATGAAAAAACATAAGGTCATTATAAAAATCACTAGATCAGATGTTACAAAAAAAACCCACTAGGTTTATTAATGCTAGACTTACCATACTGAAGCGCTCCACTTTACAAGCCATACAAACTGAAGTGGAAGAATCCGCCATCCACTGGTCAGGGTGAGGTGGATTAGGTGGAACAATAAACTGGTTGGATAGGGATTTGTTGCACTCTTGGTGGAGACTGGCAGTGGGGGAGGCTAAGTGGTCAAACACATTCTTTTTGTTACTGCATGGTATCTATGATAGGACCTTCAACACATTTCACCTGACCTTCAACATGACCTACCACACATTTCACATGACCTACCACACATTTCACAAGACCTACCACACATTTCACAAGACCTACCACACATTTCACAAGACCTACCACACATTTCACAAGACCTACCACACATTTCACAAGACCTACCACACATTTCACAAGACCTACCACACATTTCACAAGACCTACCACACATTTCACAAGACCTACCACACATTTCACAAGACCTACCACACATTTCACAAGACCTACCACACATTTCACAAGACCTACCACACATTTCACAAGACCTACCACACATTTCACAAGACCTACCACACATTTCACATGACCTACCACACATTTCACCTGATCCACCACACATTTCACAAGACCTACCACACATTTCACATGACCTACCACACATTTCACATGACCTACCACACATTTCACATGACCTACCACACATTTCACATGACCTACCACACATTTCACAAGACCTACCACACATTTCACAAGACCTACCACACATTTCACAAGACCTACCACACATTTCACAAGACCTACCACACATTTCACATGACCTACCACACATTTCACCTGATCCACCACACATTTCACAAGACCTACCACACATTTCACATGACCTACCACACATTTCACATGACCTACCACACATTTCACATGACCTACCACACATTTCACATGACCTACCACACATTTCACAAGACCTACCACACATTTCACAAGACCTACCACACATTTCACAAGACCTACCACACATTTCACAAGACCTACCACACATTTCACAAGACCTACCACACATTTCACATGACCTACCACACATTTCACATGACCTACCACACATTTCACATGACCTACCACACATTTCACATGACCTACCACACATTTCACATGACCTACCACACATTTCACATGACCTACCACACATTTCACATGACCTACCACACAGTTCACATGACCTACCACACATTTTGCATGACCTACCACACATTTCACCTGATCCACCACACATTTCACAAGACCTACCACACATTTCACATGACCTACCACACATTTCATTTCTTTCCAGAACAGAATTTCTTCTTGTGCCTCCTGCTGAGTTGCCAGATTGGCCACTTTCACTGTCACATTTTTCTGACAGACAAATATTTTTTATGAGAAAAACTTCCAACAGGAGCTAAGGCTTGACTAAACAGGAGCTAGATCTTGAATGAGCTTACCATTGACCTGAACAACCTTGACCTGTAGAGCAAGTCTGGCATACGTGGCCAGCATGAGGTTGAAATCTTCTTGTCTGACTCGCTTGACTTCATCTTTGACCTGCAACAGCTCACATTTGATCTGGTCAAAGATTTGGCCAGCTAGTTCAGCCTGAGAAAATTGATGATTAGTTTAACCTTCCTGCAGTCAGATGACTTAGCTTCATGTTGCAGTCAGATGACTTAGCACATCCCAAACAACATGCCTCTATAAATTATGTCTGGCTATTTACCCGTAATTCCACAGCAGCTATGTCTCGCTGATAATTTTTTAAATAAATAAAAACCTATGCTCACATAATTTATTAATTTATGATTCAAATCTTTAGACCATTTTTCTTGAAAAATAAAGAGTAGATCTAGATGTAGTTTTAATTTTAATAGAGATATTTTCCATGCTAAATCATGACTTACCTTCATGTAGCAGTCAGATGACTTACCTTCATGCAGCAGTCAGATGACTTACCTTCATGTAGCAGTCAGATGACTTACCTTCATGCAGCAGTCAGATGACTTACCTTCATGCAGCAGTCAGATGACTTACCTTCATGTAGCAGTTAGATGACTTTAGACCATTTTTTCTTGAAAATAAAGAGTAAAGCTAGATGTAGTTTTAATTTTAATAGAGATATTTTCCATGCTAAATCATGACTTACCTTCATGCAGCAGTCAGATGACTTACCTTCATGTAGCAGTCAGATGACTTACCTTCATGTAGCAGTCAGATGACTTACCTTCATGCAGCAGTCAGATGACTTACCTTCATGTAGCAGTCAGATGACTTACCTTCATGTAGCAGTCAGATGACTTACCTTCATGCAGCAGTCAGATGACTTACCTTCATGTAGCAGTCAGATGACTTACCTTCATGCAGCAGTCAGATGACTTACCTTCATGTAGCAGTCAGATGACTTACCTTCATGCAGCAGTCAGATGACTTACCTTCATGCAGCAGTCAGATGACTTAGCTTCATGCAGCAGTCAGATGACTTACCTTCATGCAGCAGTCAGATGACTTACCTTCATGTAGCAGTCAGATGACTTACCTTCATGTAGCAGTCAGATGACTTACCTTCATGCAGCAGTCAGATGACTTACCTTCATGCAGCAGTCAGATGACTTACCTTCATGCAGCAGTCAGATGACTTACCTTCATGTAGCAGTCAGATGACTTACCTTCATGTAGCAGTCAGATGACTTACCTTCATGCAGCAGCCAGATGACTTACCTTCATGCAGCAGTCAGATGACTTACCTTCATGCAGCAGTCAGATGACTTACCTTCATGCAGCAGTCAGATGACTTACCTTCATGTAGCAGTCAGATGACTTACCTTCATGTTCATCAGCAACTGCTCCAGTATCAGGTGTGGACAAGAGATGAGGTGCATGTAGTCAGGGACAATTCTTGGGGGGATGGCCATTAGAGCCTGACAAGAAAATGTCATGTTGGGGTCAGACAAAATGTCATGTTGGGGTCAGACAAAATGTCATGTTGGGGTCAAACAAAATGTCATGTTGGGGTCAGACAAAATGTCATGTTGGGGTCAGACAAAATGTCATGTTGGGGTCAGACAAAATGTCATGTTGGGGTCAAACAAAATGTCATGTTGGGGTCAGACAAAATGTCATGTTGGGGTCAGACAAAATGTCATGTTGGGGTCAGACAAAATGTCATGTTGGGGTCAGACAAAATGTCATGTTGGGGTCAAACAAAATGTCATGTTGGGGTCAGACAAAATGTCATGTTGGGGTCAGACAAAATGTCATGTTGGGGTCAGACAAAATGTCATGTTGGGGTCAGAAAAAATGTCATGTTGGGGTCAGACAAAATGTCATGTTGGGGTCAGACAAAATGTCATGTTGGGGTCAGACAAAATGTCATGTTGGGGTCAGACAAAATGTCATGTTGGGGTAGACAAAATGTCATGTTGGGGTCAGACAAAATGTCATGTTGGGGTCAGACAAAATGTCATGTTGGGGTCAGACAAAATGTCATGTTGGGGTAGACAAAATGTCATGTTGGGGTTAGACAAAATGTCATGTTAGGGTCAGACAAAATGTCATGTTGAGGTCAGACAAAATGTCATGTTGGGGTCAGACAAAATGTCATGTTTGGGTATAACAATGGGAGAGGTGATGATGTGAATGGAGTAAAAATGTCAAGCACAAGGAACTGATGAGAGCAGCCAGTGTAACCTACCTTGGCCCCTATCTGTTGCAGTCTGAGATCTTCACTGGTGGGAAGGAGCTGGGACAAATAAGACAAGATGAAGCTGACAACAAACTTGATTTCCTTAGGCTTGGTCAGTGAGGTGAGCACAGTTTGGCAGACAGCAAGACACTGAGTGGGGGAGTGGGTCAGCAGGTCATCCAGCAGCTGAAAGGCCGTCACTGTGTCAGATGGCTCACATGTCAGGACACACTTCAAGTGTCTTTCTTGGACAATCTGTGGGAGGATGGGCTACACAAGCTTTAGGTGGGGCTACAGAAGATTTAGGTGGGGCTACACAAGCTTTAGGTGGGCTACAGAAGATTTAGGTGGGGCTACAGAAGATTTAGGTGGGGCTACAGAAGATTTAGGTGGGGCTACAGAAGATTTAGGTGGGGCTACAGAAGCTTTAGGTGGGGCTACAGAAGATTTAGGTGGGGCTACACAAGCTTTAGGTGGGGCTACAGAAGATTTAGGTGGGCTACAGAAGATTTAGGTGGGGCTACAGAAGATTTAGGTGGGGCTACAGAAGCTTTAGGTGGGGCTACAGAAGATTTAGGTGGGGCTACACACGCTTTAGGTGGGGCTACACACGCTTTAGGTGGGGCTACAGAAGATTTAGGTGGGGCTACAGAAGATTTAGGTGGGGCTACAGAAGATTTAGGTGGGGCTACAGAAGATTTAGGTGGGGCTACAGAAGATTTAGGTGGGGCTACAGAAGATTTAGGTGGGGCTACAGAAGATTTAGGTGGGGCTACAGAAGATTTAGGTGGGGCTACAGAAGATTTAGGTGGGGCTACACAAGCTTTAGGTGGGGCTACACACGCTTTAGGTGGGGCTACAGAAGATTTAGGTGGGGCTACAGAAAATTTAAGTGGGGCTACAGAAGATTTAGGTGGGGCTACAGAAGATTTAGGTGGGGCTACAGAAGATTTAGGTGGGGCTACAGAAGATTTAGGTGGGGCTACAGAAGATTTAGGTGGGGCTACAGAAGATTTAGGTGGGGCTACAGAAGATTTAGGTGGGGCTACAGAAGATTTAGGTGGGGCTACAGAAGATTTAGGTGGGGCTACAGAAGATTTAGGTGGGGCTACAGAAGATTTAGGTGGGGCTACAGAAGATTTAAGTGGGGCTACAGAAGATTTAGGTGGGGCTACAAAAATGGGACGTACATGGACTAGGTCTGCAGCAAAGAGACGAGCCCATGCCAGAGCTGTGTCAAAGTCCGCAGCCTGCTCCAGCAGGTGGAGGATGTCGTGGGGCTGGTTCTTGCTGGCTCTCTCGATCTCTTGCCACTTGCTGAACCTGCACACTACAGCTGGCTCCAGCTTCTTCAAGGTCCTTTCAATCTGAAATGGCCAATCTTGGCTCTCAGGACTAATATCTCAGGACAAAAATCTCAGGACAGAAATATCTCAGCTTAAAAATGTCTAAATCTGTCTATAGAAAGAAAAAACTTTCTTACATGGGACGGATTGGCCTTGCAGTAGAGCACTAGACTGTTTACAGTCTCACACTGAGTCCACCCAGCTCTGATGGGTACCTAACTCATATTAGGGAAAATAAAGGGGGCTGGGCATAGTGCTGACCACATTATCCCTTCATATGCTGAGGTCACAGAAACAGGTGCTCTACTTCTCTTGACCCAGGGGCCATAAGCCAAGAGGTTTCTGCTTTTACCTTATTCAAAATGGCCAGTTGTTGGAGTCTGCCGGCCACAGTGTGCCACATGTGGCCGCCAGCAGGCACGCAGGTGAGGAGAAGCTCCAGCAGGTCCAGGCTCTGGTCTAGAGGCAGCTGGTCAATCAGGCTCAGGACAGTCCGCGCTTGACAGCTGGGATGGGAGAACTGTCTCAGCTGGTCTCCAACATCAGCAGCTGGCACTGGCTAGGGAACAAAGTCCTCAGTCAATACAATCTTATCTAGCAGCTGGCACTAGCTAGAGAACAAAGTCCTCAGTCAGTACAATCTTATGTAGCAGCTGGCACTAGCTAGAGAACAAAGTCCTCAGTCAATACAATCTTATCTAGCAGCTGGCACTAGCTAGAGAACAAAGTCCTCAGTCAATACAATCTTATCTAGCAGCTGGCACTAGCTAGAGAACAAAGTCCTCAGTCAATACAATCTTATCTAGCAGCTGGCACTAGCTAGAGAACAAAGTCCTCAGTCAATACAATCTTATCTAGCAGCTGGCCCACCTACCTGTAGCAGCTGGCTGGCCCACCTACCTGTAGCAGCTGGCCCACCTACCTGTAGTAGCTGGCCCACCTACCTGGAGTAGCTGGCCCACCTACCTGTAGCAGCTGGCCCACCTACCTGTAGCAGCTGGCCCTCCTACCTGTAGCAGCTGGCTGGCCCACCTACCTGTAGCAGCTGGCCCACCTACCTGTAGTAGCTGGCCCACCTACCTGTAGCAGCTGGCTGGCCCACCTACCTGTAGCAGCTGGCCCACCTACCTGTAGTAGCTGGCCCACCTACCTGTAGCAGCTGGCCCACCTACCTGTAGCAGCTGGCCCACCTACCTGTAGCAGCTGGCCCACCTACCTGTAGCAGCTGGCCCACCTACCTGTAGCAGCTGGCCCACCTACCTGTAGCAGCTGGCCCACCTACCTGTAGCAGCTGGCCCTCCTACCTGTAGCAGCTGGCCCACCTACCTGTAGCAGCTGGCCCTCCTACCTGTAGCAGCTGGCTGGCCCACCTACCTGTAGCAGCTGGCCCACCTACCTGTAGTAGCTCGCCCACCTACCTGTAGCAGCTGGCTGGCCCACCTACCTGTAGCAGCTGGCCCACCTACCTGTAGTAGCTGGCCCACCTACCTGTAGCAGCTGGCCCACCTACCTGTAGCAGCTGGCCCACCTACCTGTAGCAGCTGGCCCACCTACCTGTAGCAGCTGGCCCACCTACCTGTAGCAGCTGGCCCACCTACCTGTAGCAGCTGGCCCACCTACCTGTAGCAGCTGGCCCTCCTACCTGTAGCAGCTGGCCCACCTACCTGTAGCAGCTGGCCCTCCTACCTGTAGCAGCTGGTCCACCTACCTGTAGCAGCTGGTCCACCTACCTGTAGCAGCTGGCCCTCCTACCTGTAGCAGCTGGCCCTCCTACCTGTAGCAGCTGGCCCTCCTACCTGTAGCAGCTGGTCCACCTACCTGTAGCAGCTGGCCCTCCTACCTGTAGCAGCTGGCCCTCCTACCTGTAGCAGCTGGCCCTCCTACCTGTAGCAGCTGGTCCACCTACCTGTAGCAGCTGGTCCACCTACCTGTAGCAGCTGGCCCTCCTACCTGTAGCAGCTGGCCCTCCTACCTGTAGCAGCTGGTCCACCTACCTGTAGCAGCTGGTCCACCTACCTGTAGCAGCTGGCCCTCCTACCTGTAGCAGCTGGCCCTCCTACCTGTAGCAGCTGGCCCTCCTACCTGTAGCAGCTGGTCCACCTACCTGTAGCAGCTGGTCCACCTACCTGTAGCAGCTGGCCCTCCTACCTGTAGCAGCTGGCTGGCCCACCTACCTGTAGCAGCTGGTCCACCTACCTGTAGCAGCTGGCCCACCTACCTGTAGCAGCTGGCCCACCTACCTGTAGCAGCTGGCCCACCTACCTGTAGCAGCTGGCCCACCTACCTGTAGTAGCTGGCCCACCTACCTGTAGCAGCTGGCTGGCCCACCTACCTGTAGCAGCTGGCCCTCCTACCTGTAGCAGCTGGCCCTCCTACCTGTAGCAGCTGGCCCTCCTACCTGTAGCAGCTGGTCCACCTACCTGTAGCAGCTGGTCCACCTACCTGTAGCAGCTGGCCCTCCTACCTGTAGCAGCTGGCTGGCCCACCTACCTGTAGCAGCTGGTCCACCTACCTGTAGCAGCTGGTCCACCTACCTGTAGCAGCTGGCTGACAGCCCAACTGGCAAGCACGTAGTCGTGCAGTGTCTGCAGCTGCCTGTGTCCCTGTACAAGAGAGCGGGGCAGGCAGGAGAGGATGGTGAACAGCTCCTGCCACTTGTGCTCCAGCACCAGCCTGTTGGCCGTGGCCTGAATCACTCGCACAAACTGGAGGCTGTCTGGTAGGCTGAACATGCACAGCTTCACCTGGGGACAGGCAGAAACAGTGCTGTCATGGGGACAGGCAGAAACAGTGCTGTCATGGGGGCAGGCAGAAACAGTGCTGTCATGGGGGCAGGCAGAAACAGTGCTGTCATGGGGGCAGGCAGAAACAGTGCTGTCATGGGGGCAGGGAGTGTGCTGTCATGGGGGCAGGGAGTGTGCTGTCATGGGGGCAGGGAGTGTACTGTCATGGGGGCAGGGAGTGTGCTGTCATGGGGGCAGGGAGTGTGCTGTCATGGGGGCAGGGAGTGTACTGTCATGGGGGCAGGGAGTGTGCTGTCATGGGGGCAGGGAGTGTGCTGTCATGGGGGCAGGGAGTGTGCTGTCATGGGGGCAGGGAGTGTACTGTCATGGGGGCAGGGAGTGTGCTGTCATGGGGGCAGGGAGTGTGCTGTCATGGGGGCAGGGAGTGTGCTGTCATGGGGGCAGGGAGTGTACTGTCATGGGGGCAGGGAGTGTACTGTCATGGGGACAGCCAGAAACAGTGCTGTCATGGGGGCAGGGAGTGTACTGTCATGGGGGCAGGGAGTGTGCTGTCATGGGGGCAGGGAGTGTACTGTCATGGGGGCAGGGAGTGTACTGTCATGGGGGCAGGGAGTGTGCTGTCATGGGGGCAGGGAGTGTGCTGTCATGGGGGCAGGGAGTGTGCTGTCATGGGGACAGGGAGTGTACTGTCATGGGGACAGGGAGTGTGCTGTCATGGGGGCAGGGAGTGTGCTGTCATGGGGGCAGGGAGTGTGCTGTCATGAGGGCAGGGAGTGTGCTGTCATGGGGGCAGGGAGTGTACTGTCATGGGGGCAGGCAGAAACAGTGCTGTCATGGGGGCAGGCAGAAACAGTGCTGTCATGGGGGCAGGCAGAAACAGTGCTGTCATGGGGGCAGGCAGAAACAGTGATGTCATGGGGGCAGGGAGTGTGCTGTCATGGGGGCAGGCAGAAACAGTGCTGTCATGGGGGCAGGGAGTGTGCTGTCATGGGGGCAGGGAGTGTACTGTCATGGGGACAGCCAGAAACAGTGCTGTCATGGGGGCAGGGAGTGTGCTGTCATGGGGGCAGGGAGTGTGCTGTCATGGGGGCAGGGAGTGTACTGTCATGGGGACAGGGAGTGTGCTGTCATGGGGACAGCCAGAAACAGTGCTGTCATGGGGGCAGGGAGTGTGCTGTCATGGGGGCAGGCAGAAACAGTGCTGTCATGGGGGCAGGGAGTGTGCTGTCATGGGGGCAGGGAGTGTGCTGTCATGGGGGCAGGGAGTGTACTGTCATGGGGACAGGGAGTGTGCTGTCATGGGGACAGCCAGAAACAGTGCTGTCATGGGGGCAGGGAGTGTGCTGTCATGGGGGCAGGGAGTGTACTGTCAAGGGGACAGGGAGTGTGCTGTCATGGGGACAGGGAGTGTGCTGTCATGGGGGCAGGGAGTGTGCTGTCATGGGGGCAGGGAGTGTGCTGTCATGGGGGCAGGGAGTGTACTGTCATGGGGACAGGGAGTGTGCTGTCATGGGGACAGGGAGTGTGCTGTCATGGGGGCAGGGAGTGTGCTGTCATGGGGGCAGGGAGTGTACTGTCAAGGGGACAGGGAGTGTGCTGTCATGGGGACAGGGAGTGTGCTGTCATGGGGGCAGGGAGTGTGCTGTCATGGGGGCAGGGAGTGTACTGTCATGGGGACAGGGAGTGTGCTGTCATGGGGACAGCCAGAAACAGTGCTGTCATGGGGGCAGGGAGTGTGCTGTCATGGGGGCAGGCAGAAACAGTGCTGTCATGGGGGCAGGGAGTGTGCTGTCATGGGGACAGCCAGAAACAGTGCTGTCATGGGGGCAGGGAGTGTGCTGTCATGGGGGCAGGGAGTGTACTGTCATGGGGGCAGGAAGTGTTCTGTCATGGGGGCAGGGAGTGTGCTGTCATGGGGGCAGGGAGTGTACTGTCATGGGGACAGCCAGAAACAGTGCTGTCATGGGGGCAGGGAGTGTGCTGTCATGGGGGCAGGGAGTGTACTGTCATGGGGGCAGGGAGTGTACTGTCATGGGGGCAGGGAGTGTGCTGTCATGGGGGCAGGGAGTGTGCTGTCATGGGGGCAGGGAGTGTGCTGTCATGGGGGCAGGGAGTGTACTGTCATGGGGACAGCCAGAAACAGTGCTGTCATGGGGGCAGGGAGTGTGCTGTCATGGGGGCAGGGAGTGTACTGTCATGGGGGCAGGGAGTGTGCTGTCATGGGGGCAGGGAGTGTGCTGTCATGGGGGCAGGCAGAAACAGTGCTGTCATGGGGGCAGGGAGTGTGCTGTCATGGGGGCAGGGAGTGTGCTGTCATGGGGGCAGGGAGTGTACTGTCATGGGGACAGCCAGAAACAGTGCTGTCATGGGGGCAGGGAGTGTGCTGTCATGGGGGCAGGGAGTGTGCTGTCATGGGGGCAGGGAGTGTGCTGTCATGGGGGCAGGGAGTGTACTGTCATGGGGGCAGGGAGTGTGCTGTCATGGGGGCAGGGAGTGTACTGTCATGGGGGCAGGGAGTGTGCTGTCATGGGGGCAGGGAGTGTGCTGTCATGGGGGCAGGGAGTGTACTGTCATGGGGGCAGGGAGTGTGCTGTCATGGGGGCAGGGAGTGTGCTGTCATGGGGGCAGGGAGTGTACTGTCAAGGGGACAGGGAGTGTACTGTCATGGGGGCAGGGAGTGTACTGTCAAGGGGACAGGGAGTGTGCTGTCATGGAGGCAGGGAGTGTGCTGTCATGGGGGCAGGGAGTGTGCTGTCATGGGGGCAGGGAGTGTACTGTCAAGGGGACAGGGAGTGTGCTGTCATGGAGGCAGGCAGAAACAGTGCTGTTATGGGGGCAGGGAATGTGCTGTCATGGAGTTAGAGATTGAGAAAACCTGAAGTAAGACATCACACCACACTTAGGAAAATCATTTCCTGGTCACTGGTGTCATTGGTGACACAATTAAGGATGGGCTGACTACTAACCTGGTCATTGATGTCATTTGTGACAAACTTGAGGATGGGCTCACTACTGTCCACAAGCTGGGGGTTATCGCATGCCGCCAGGGGCAGGATGCAGTGCAAGAGGTGGCGCTGCAGCAGCGGGTAGTCCGAGGTGAGCCTGTGGTAGCGGTAGCTGCGCATGTCCACCAGGCTCATGTCTGAGCTGGACCTGTGGGGCCGCAGCAGGTCTGAGCTGCTGAAGTGGTCATCTGTCAAGTGCTGCTCAATGTTGTCCAACTGGTCAGAGCACACCAGACTGACCAGCGTGGCCAGCAGCAGGGAGTTTTGTTTGACATACTCCAGCGTGATGGGACTCAGGTTGTACTCAGGCTCCTGCTGGCTGCTGACACCTTGGCTAGCTCCACTGACACCTTGGCTAGCTCCACTGACACCCTGACTAGCTCCACTGACACCCTGACTAGCTCCACTGACACCCTGACTAGCTCCACTGACACCTTGGCTAGCTCCACTGACACCTTGGCTAGCTCCACTGACACCTTGGCTAGCTCCACTGACACCCTGGCTAGCTCCACTGACACCCTGACTAGCTCCACTGACACCCTGACTAGCTCCACTGACACCCTGACTAGCTCCACTGACACCTTGGCTAGCTCCACTGACACCCTGACTAGCTCCACTGACACCCTGGCTAGCTCCACTGACACCCTGGCTAGCTCCACTGACACCCTCAGTCAGCTTGGTAAAATTCAGACAAATAGAGAATGTGTCATCAAACTTGATCCAGTCAATAGTGAAAGAGTTGGCTGAACCTGTTGACAGTTTGTAACCACCTGTCAGAAGTTTGTAATGTATTCTAACCTGCTGAACATTTTTATCACATGACCAGTGTTTCTTCCAGGCATCTCTTCAAAATAGAATTTAAATAGAAAATATACACTATCAACAGATAGGACACCCCAAGTCTACATCAACAGATAGGACACCCCAAGTCTACATCAACAGGTAGGACACCCCAAGTCTACATCAACAGGTAGGACACCCCAAGTCTACATCAACAGATAGGACACCCCAAGTCTACATCAACAGATAGGACACCCCAAGTGTACATCAACAGGTAGGACACCCCAAGTCTACATCAACAGATAGGACACCCCAAGTCTACATCAACAGATAGGACACCCCAAGTCTACATCAACAGATAGGACACCCCAAGTCTACATCAACAGATAGGACACCCCAAGTCTACATCAACAGGTAGGACACCCCAAGTCTACATCAACAGGTAGGACACCCCAAGTCTACATCAACAGATAGGACACCCCAAGTCTACATCAACAGGTAGGACACCCCAAGTCTACATCAACAGATAGGACACCCCAAGTCTACATCAACAGATAGGACACCCCAAGTCTACATCAACAGATAGGACACCCCAAGTCTACATCAACAGGTAGGACACCCCAAGTCTACATCAACAGATAGGACACCCCAAGTCTACATCAACAGGTAGGACACCCCAAGTCTACATCAACAGATAGGACACCCCAAGTCTACATCAACAGATAGGACACCCCAAGTCTACATCAACAGATAGGACACCCCAAGTCTACATCAACAGATAGGACACCCCAAGTCTACATCAACAGATAGGACACCCCAAGTCTACATCAACAGATAGGACACCCCAAGTCTACATCAACAGATAGGACACCCCAAGTCTACATCAACAGGTAGGACACCCCAAGTCTACATCAACAGATAGGACACCCCAAGTCTACATCAACAGGTAGGACACCCCAAGTCTACATCAACAGATAGGACACCCCAAGTCTACATCAACAGGTAGGACACCCCAAGTCTACATCAACAGATAGGACACCCCAAGTCTACATCAACAGATAGGACACCCCAAGTCTACATCAACAGATAGGACACCCCAAGTCTACATCAACAGATAGGACACCCCAAGTCTACATCAACAGATAGGACACCCCAAGTCTACATCAACAGATAGGACACCCCAAGTCTACATCAACAGATAGGACACCCCAAGTCTACATCAACAGGTAGGACACCCCAAGTCTACATCAACAGATAGGACACCCCAAGTCTACATCAACAGGTAGGACACCCCAAGTCTACATCAACAGATAGGACACCCCAAGTCTACATCAACAGGTAGGACACCCCAAGTCTACATCAACAGATAGGACACCCCAAGTCTACATCAACAGGTAGGACACCCCAAGTCTACATCAACAGGTAGGACACCCCAAGTCTACATCAACAGATAGGACACGTCTACATCAACAGGTAGGACACCCCAAGTCTACATCAACAGGTAGGACACCCCAAGTGTACATCAACAGATAGGACACCCCAAGTCTACATCAACAGATAGGACACCCCAAGTCTACATCAACAGGTAGGACACCCCAAGTCTACATCAACAGGTAGGACACCCCAAGTCTACATCAACAGGTAGGACACCCCAAGTCTACATCAACAGATAGGACACCCCAAGTCTACATCAACAGGTAGGACACCCCAAGTCTACATCAACAGATAGGACACCCCAAGTCTACATCAACAGATAGGACACCCCAAGTCTACATCAACAGATAGGACACCCCAAGTCTACATCAACAGGTAGGACACCCCAAGTCTACATCAACAGATAGGACACCCCAAGTCTACATCAACAGATAGGACACCCCAAGTCTACATCAACAGGTAGGACACCCCAAGTCTACATCAACAGGTAGGACACCCCAAGTCTACATCAACAGGTAGGACACCCCAAGTCTACATCAACAGATAGGACACCCCAAGTCTACATCAACAGATAGGACACCCCAAGTCTACATCAACAGGTAGGACACCCCAAGTCTACATCAACAGGTAGGACACCCCAAGTCTACATCAACAGATAGGACACCCCAAGTCTACATCAACAGGTAGGACACCCCAAGTCTACATCAACAGATAGGACACCCCAAGTCTACATCAACAGATAGGACACCCCAAGTCTACATCAACAGATAGGACACCCCAAGTCTACATCAACAGATAGGACACCCCAAGTCTACATCAACAGGTAGGACACCCCAAGTCTACATCAACAGGTAGGACACCCCAAGTCTACATCAACAGGTAGGACACCCCAAGTCTACATCAACAGATAGGACACCCCAAGTCTACATCAACAGATAGGACACCCCAAGTCTACATCAACAGGTAGGACACCCCAAGTCTACATCAACAGATAGGACACCCCAAGTCTACATCAACAGATAGGACACCCCAAGTCTACATCAACAGGTAGGACACCCCAAGTCTACATCAACAGATAGGACACCCCAAGTCTACATCAACAGGTAGGACACCCCAAGTCTACATCAACAGATAGGACACCCCAAGTCTACATCAACAGATAGGACACCCCAAGTGTACATCAACAGGTAGGACACCCCAAGTCTACATCAACAGGTAGGACACCCCAAGTCTACATCAACAGATAGGACACCCCAAGTCTACATCAACAGATAGGACACCCCAAGTCTACATCAACAGATAGGACACCCCAAGTCTACATCAACAGATAGGACACCCCAAGTGTACATCAACAGATAGGACACCCCAAGTCTACATCAACAGATAGGACACCCCAAGTCTACATCAACAGATAGGACACCCCAAGTCTACATCAACAGATAGGACACCCCAAGTCTACATCAACAGATAGGACACCCCAAGTCTACATCAACAGGTAGGACACCCCAAGTCTACATCAACAGGTAGGACACCCCAAGTCTACATCAACAGATAGGACACCCCAAGTCTACATCAACAGATAGGACACCCCAAGTCTACATCAACAGGTAGGACACCCCAAGTCTACATCAACAGATAGGACACCCCAAGTCTACATCAACAGATAGGACACCCCAAGTCTACATCAACAGGTAGGACACCCCAAGTCTACATCAACAGATAGGACACCCCAAGTCTACATCAACAGGTAGGACACCCAAAGTCTACATCAACAGATAGGACACCCCAAGTGTACATCAACAGATAGGACACCCCAAGTCTACATCAACAGATAGGACACCCCAAGTCTACATCAACAGATAGGACACCCCAAGTCTACATCAACAGATAGGACACCCCAAGTCTACATCAACAGATAGGACACCCCAAGTCTACATCAACAGATAGGACACCCCAAGTCTACATCAACAGATAGGACACCCCAAGTCTACATCAACAGGTAGGACACCCCAAGTCTACATCAACAGATAGGACACCCCAAGTCTACATCAACAGATAGGACACCCCAAGTCTACATCAACAGATAGGACACCCCAAGTCTACATCAACAGGTAGGACACCCCAAGTCTACATCAACAGATAGGACACCCCAAGTCTACATCAACCGATAGGACACCCCAAGTCTACATCAACAGGTAGGACACCCCAAGTCTACATCAACAGATAGGACACCCCAAGTCTACATCAACAGATAGGACACCCCAAGTCTACATCAACAGATAGGACACCCCAAGTCTACATCAACAGATAGGACACCCCAAGTCTACATCAACAGGTAGGACACCCCAAGTCTACATCAACAGGTAGGACACCCCAAGTCTACATCAACAGATAGGACACCCCAAGTCTACATCAACAGATAGGACACCCCAAGTCTACATCAACAGATAGGACACCCCAAGTCTACATCAACAGGTAGGACACCCCAAGTCTACATCAACAGGTAGGACACCCCAAGTCTACATCAACAGATAGGACACCCCAAGTCTACATCAACAGATAGGACACCCCAAGTCTACATCAACAGGTAGGACACCCCAAGTCTACATCAACAGGTAGGACACCCCAAGTCTACATCAACAGATAGGACACCCCAAGTCTACATCAACAGATAGGACACCCCAAGTCTACATCAACAGATAGGACACCCCTACATCAACAGGTAGGACACCCCAAGTCTACATCAACAGGTAGGACACCCCAAGACTACATCAACAGGTAGGACACCCCAAGTCTACATCAACAGGTAGGACACCCCAAGTCTACATCAACAGATAGGACACCCCAAGTCTACATCAACAGATAGGACACCCCAAGTCTACATCAACAGGTAGGACACCCCAAGTCTACATCAACAGGTAGGACACCCCAAGTCTACATCAACAGATAGGACACCCCAAGTCTACATCAACAGATAGGACACCCCAAGTCTACATCAACAGATAGGACACCCCAAGTCTACATCAACAGGTAGGACACCCCAAGTCTACATCAACAGATAGGACACAGTCTACATCAACAGGTAGGACACCCCAAGTCTACATCAACAGATAGGACACCCCAAGTCTACATCAACAGATAGGACACCCCAAGTCTACATCAACAGGTAGGACACCCCAAGTCTACATCAACAGATAGGACACCCCAAGTCTACATCAACAGGTAGGACACCCCAAGTCTACATCAACAGGTAGGACACCCCAAGTCTACATCAACAGATAGGACACCCCAAGTCTACATCAACAGGTAGGACACCCCAAGTCTACATCAACAGATAGGACACCCGAAGTCTACATCAACAGGTAGGACACCCCAAGTCTACATCAACAGGTAGGACACCCCAAGTCTACATCAACAGATAGGACACGTCTACATCAACAGGTAGGACACCCCAAGTCTACATCAACAGGTAGGACACCCCAAGTGTACATCAACAGATAGGACACCCCAAGTCTACATCAACAGATAGGACACC